CATGGAACTCTTGCTCTTGAACTCTGATGAAGAACCCTGGTTCCTGTTCATAGTCTAAACCTCCAGTGGAAAGCATGGGCTTGCTTTTAGCATCTTGTTTGGGTTGCCATAAATGTCTCTTCATTCTACGAAAACATGCCCTAGACACTGGAATGTACTACCAGTCACCAATTTATTATGTATATTAACATTGAATTTCACACTATATTGAAATGAAGGTAACAAAACAATTTTATATGTAAAAAATTAAAGCTAATGCCTCTTCTTCAGAAAATAAAAGTATTCAATGATGGCTCTTCTTAAAATCAAATAGTTACTTCTTAAACTGCAAAATCCAATGCTACCTAATACTTAAAATTTATGCATCATTTCCAGTGTCTAAATTCAGTCTGAACATCTTCAGCAGGCTATAATCTCCCTTCTTTAACAGACTTTCATTTAAAGACCATTGGCTGTTGAATGAAGAACATAAAATAATTGTCAGATTTACACTGTTGTTCTGTCTCATTCCAACTCAGGCTAGAAATGGTTTCATGTAATAATCCTTCAAAAGCCAGGACATTATGGCTACAGTCCTATGTACCTACCTGAGAGCTGGCCTATTGAACTCAATGCGACTTATTGTTGAGCAGACATACATGGATTTAACCATGCATCTTCTTGGAAATAGCTGTAAAGTTCAGCTCTCAGCAATAATAAGGGGGCATTTGACATTCTACGCAAAACACCAAATTTTCCCATCTCTGCTTACTGCATTGAGGAGCTTTTGAGTATGATACCCCTTATTAATAGTCTGACTCAGCTCAATATTTTTTTAAAGTCCTGGTGGAGCTTTCTTTTCAGACTTGTTCAGGCTACCCACCACCCTATTTGCAAGTGGGTTTTTTTGCCTGGTGGAGGAGAGTCTGACTATTCAGGGAAGGAGTTGAAATGGGTTTTGAATAGTCAGGTTGGCTAGTGTCCAAAAGCCCTCTAGCAAGATGAGGGATGTTTTTTGTCTGCCTGTTGTTTTCTCCACAACAGTTTTTTTAAAGTGCTTTTGAAAATAAATGACTACATCTGATGCCACAGTAAGCACCGCTTATTCTGTCCAAAGAATCCACAACACCCCCAAAACGCTCCCATCAAATTTGGGTGAAACAGCAATTTAAAGGCAAGTTGTCAGTCCTACAGCTTCTTTACACAGCAGTAGCCAGGATTTGACCACTGGCCAGTTCCTGCTGCATGTCAAGGACAGGAGTATCTATGTGCCATTCATGTATCCCCCGCTGGATCAAGAACTGCAGGCCCTAACTAGTGCTACAGACACCGTTCCAATGCCTGGATCAGCACCCTGTTATTTGAAAGTAGTTCCTGACTGCAAGCTTGATTGCCTAGATCACCTGTTTGAAGATGCTGGAAGATACAGGCATCAGTCTGCAGGCAGCTCACAACTGTACTAGCTTATCTCTGGATCTCGGCCAGTGATCTTATTAAATGGTTTTGTGCCAGACCTGTCAGCCCCCCTATCTGATATAAAAGTAACTTTGGAAGCGATGCTAAGATAAAATGATTAGATATTCCCCCCAACATCATAACTCCCTTTCAATTTCCAGTGAAGTGTATACTGGTATTTTCAAACTGATAAAACTAATAATAACATACCTTACTAAACAGAGGACTAAATTAAATATAATTATATAAGAAGAGATTAAATGGCACACAAAATGGGGATAGAAATAGCTCTGATTGATACTCTTGTGTTTTCATTTATATTTCATCTCATTAGCTTTCCCTGGGAGCTGAAATGTAGATCTCAAGGAAGAGTCTAGGAGCGGTACCTATTTATCTACTTGCACTTTGACTTGCTTTCGAACTGCTAGGTTTGTAGGAGCAGGGACCGAGCAACGGGAGCTCACCCCGTCAGGGGAATTCGAACTGCCGACCTTCTGATCAGCAAGTCCTAGTCTCTGTGGTTTAAGCCACAGCGCCACCCGCGTCCCCAAGGAAAAGTCTAAGTTACAGCAATTTGGAGTGGGGAATCTCAGGACTGGGGAGCCAAATGTGGTCTTCCATGATCCAGCCATTGGGACTCTCTCTAGGTTGCACACACCCTCCAACATTTCTTCGCATCCTCAACTGTTTCAGCCTGGCTGGAATGTGTCATTTAACTGTCTTTTGTTGTCTGGATGAAGAATGGAGCAGTTGTATGAAAGTGAGTGTAGAAACCTCTGAAGGCCAATTACTGTACAAAGGAAAGAACCACACTCATTGTTCTACTCACTTTGTCACTGTCCTACTTGCCCCTGGCTTATGGACCATGTAAGGCTGCCCAAGAGGAAACGTGGTGCTTGGGTTCCCCACCCATGCTGTAACTAATAAAGTTTTAAAGCTTGTGACCTCCAGACCTGGTTGTCTTTTCTCCCATCTATTACAAACACCTAATTGAAGAGTTTAGATTGCTTTCAGTTATTATCAGTGCAATAGGAACAGTGATTGCCCCCAAACAGTGCAGTAATAATCAGGTTTTTAGCTAAAACTGATAACTTTGCAAAATTCACAATATAACTCCCCTTTTTGCCTCCAGAAAAAGATGCAAAATAAAATGCACCTGTCTTCTTTCTCAGAGTGGCAAACTGTGTCTTAATGTGTGGCCTCTTCATTTCTCAGAGTGGCCAACCAGATACCCCTGGAAAGACCACAAGCAGGACCTAAGCAGAGCACTTGCCCCTATTGTGCACCCCAGACATATACAACAGCATCATGTTGTCAGCAGTTTTATTTCCAATCCTTTCCTAGTGACCCCTAGCATGGAATTTACCTTTTCAACAGCTGCCACACAGTGGGTCAACATCTTCATCAACTACAACCTCAAGGTCAGTCATCACCAGCTCAGACCCCATGAGCGTATATGTCAGATTAAGATTTGATTTTTTTTTTGCCGCAATACACATCACTTTACACTTGTTTGCATTGAGTTGCATTTGCCATTTTACATGGGGACTCTGTTCAAGCAGTCTGTGATGATGTGCAGGTGGAGGAAGAGATATAGCACCTCTTCCCCATGCATATTAATTAAACACACTTGTTAATTACTGCACTAGGGCTCTTCAAAAGGCTCTCAGAGGCATCTAAGTGGGATTCTGTTGAGGACTGATTTCTTAAATATTCATAGTACTGGGAACATCTGACCCAGTTCATGATCCAGGGCACATGCAACAAAGGTGAGCATTTGCAAGCCCCCTCCCACCACTGCCTTCTGTTTTCCCCAAACTACAGACCCCTAGATTTCTTAACAATTATATGCTGCATGCTATCTGGTCTTTGTTTGTTTTTAAGTGTTTGCTTGGTTCGTTTCAAGAGGTGTTAATGGTGAAACTGTTATATGATGTCCATCTGGTATTCTTATGTTACAGTGAATGCCTGTGATTCTGGTCTGCATCTGTGAATACTATTGAACTTTGCATCCCATGAAATGCAAGGTGTCAAGAAAGCCTTGTATTGCCAGTATCTGCCACAGAGAAAAACTGCTTTCTGGAGATCTGCTGCATAATAGATGTTTTCCAAATGCTGTCTTTTTACTTGGGAACCACTTAAAAGTGCTGAAGTTTAATATTATTAGCCTCTTTCCCCCTAAATTCATCAAGCTGAACTTTTTAAAATGTATTGGTTCTGGGGAACATGAAGATTAAACTGTCATAACTCAGAAAGCATAGGGTTTTTTTCATTAGGAGATATTAAACATTAATGAGGGCTCAGGTTTAAAAGATATTAAAATAAAGCATCAGGCTGATGTGAGTTAGCACATGCTGGAGGGAGAGAGTGCATGAGAGAAGCTAATAAAACGCGCAGCCACAGAATTGCCATAAAGCCGAAGCACAGAAAAGGGTAAGGCGGCAATACAACTGTGATTAAAGTATTAGATGATAGATCAAAAGCACCTTCCCACAAGCGGTTCAAATGTGAAATAAAGAGAAGTAATATAATGAAAATGTATGTGCCATTTCAGGGCAGTGGGGAATGTCACAAGCACTACTTTTTCAAAATATATTAGGAATCAGGTTTATATACATGGCCATTCTAAACCACTTCTTAAATCTGGTTGCCACTTGACGTTTGCATTTAGGAGGAAGAATCAAATGAGGAAAAGTTTGCAGGTGCAATATTCTACTGCAACTTCTCTCTTTCCTTGCATTCACATGGACATCTTGCAGTTGAGCCCTTGTAGTTGAGCCCCTGTCCCTATGTATGGCTTTGCCACAGATGCTGCTTCTGCCTTGTTGTTGTTTGATGCCACAACAGTAATACCCAAATCTAGCTACTACATGTGTTGAGCAGATCATGAGGGATGCACTCACATGCATGCAGACTCCAACTGTGTTGGCTGGCCTGCTGCTCGCTTTCTCCCTAGCCTTTAGTGAAATCCAAAAGGCCCATCCTATGATTTATCCAAATTCTAGCAAATTTGTGTCCTCTCTACAACCCTCTAAAACAGTAGTTCAGGGGACCATTACACATAGGAAGGGAGAAGCCTTCTCTTGCCCACCTCTAGTTTCAGCACTGATTAAATGAAAGGATAGATGAAATCATGTGAGTGCAGGTAGGGAACACCAGTTTTAGACAATCCCCTAGCCTTTTTCAAGTGTTACAATTACGCTAGTAAACATGTGAGGGTCAATAGGGAGAACACTAGCTCTGTCCAAATAATCCTCCCCACTGATTTACAACTCACAAAAGTCAAAGGTCTAATGTCGAGGGTACTTTAGTACTCGGGGAAGGGGCTCCTGGAAAATCAGGGTTCTAAAAGATTTGGGAACTTCTGCAGTTGCAGGAAGCTCCTTGTGTCTGATCTTTGACTTCTACAAAGTGACTGAGGGCAAGGAAAGCTAGTGGCCTCATTCCCCCTGCCTTACCTCACATAGAGTCATAGAATTCTCAATTATACATAAAATCATAGAATTTTAGAGTTAGAAGGCACCATGAGGATCATCTAGCCTAAACCCCTGTAATACAGGAATCTTTTGCCCAGCATGGGGCTCAAAACCACAACTCTGAGATTAAGAGCCTCATACTTTACCGACTGAGCTATCAGTCATAATCATGTTTACTTTAACCTAAGTGCAATGCCTGAAGAGGGCTCATGTGTGGCAGGACCCTTGCATAGCCGTCTGGAGAACATGTGTCAACTTTTATTTCTTTGGGGGAGAGTTTTGTTGCCGTTGTTTTCAGTACAGTACAAATTCCAGATCAGGGGGATTTTTCTGCATGTGTAGGCTAGGTCTTCAATAGCTCAGTCTCCAATCAGGCACCTGGTTTGGTGCCTCAAAAGAAACCTTAACTGTTGTCTGAGTTCCCCAAACCAGTGTTACTGTACCTACTTATAATAGATATATTATTTATTTTTGATTGTTAAGTAATTCATTCTATTTATCAGTCCCCCCAATAACAGTTATCCTCTGGAAGACATAAATACATGACTAAAGCAGCTGAAAATTGCAACATCTACATGAACTTCAGAGTGGTGCATCTATCATTTTAATGTGGTGAGCATTTTTATTTTCTTTACTCTCCAACATGCAAGATATGAGATCTGCAGAAGTTTTATGGCACTGAAGGGCACAACTAGCCTCTTACTACATACTAACTATTCATTCAGTCAGGGATAATCGTAAGTAGTGCTCTCCTGGCAACAATAGTATTTCAGAATCCACTTGCGACTTTGCCATGTCAAAAAATGAATGCAGCATTCTGGGTTTCGTATGTTCATGACAGCAAGCTGGTGCTGCATTGCCTGTGCAAACAAGCTGTGCAAAGAAGGATGCAATAATGATGCTGGTATCTGCTTCTAAAATGACTGCAATGTTGTATTGTCCCACATTAAAATGTTTAGCTTGTCCCAATGACAGTGATTCCACAGCTTAACCTACCACTCTTTGTCATTCACAGAATCCTCAAGATATGGTGAAAGGTGAGATGCGCATAGTTGGAAGCTAATTAACAGTGAACATTCAGTTAATATAAGAGGATAAAGGTTGTATTTATCTTATCTACATCTATTAATTGCTTTTTATTTTTTATTTTTTCATTGTCCTTTCCTGTGTGCCTCTGGTAGGCAACTTGCCCTAATTTTTGACCATCCACTGAATGTTACATACAAATTGAAATTACCACAGCACCAAATTGTAGACTTCTTATTTTTGCTAAGTTGATTAGAAAATATCACTAGAACTGCCTGCTTGATTTGATTCTGCTGTTCAAAAAACAAAAGTGGAACTCCTCTCCCTTCTGGGTCAGAATCAAGTTTTTATGATAGCTTTGGATTGAACTCTGAGAGGGATGGTAATAAGGCATTACTTCTGTGGAATCGGCTGCAGAAGGAGTGGCTTGCTGCAATCCATGGTCCTGTACTACCTAAAGGTCTTAGTTCTGATTGCATTCTTTATGGCAACCTTCACCAACCTGGTACCTGCTTTGGACTGCATCTGGCTAGAACTGATGGGAGTTTAGTTCAAAATACCTGGAAGGTGCTGGGCTGTCAAAGATTGCTTTATGGCATAGACTGGTCTTTCCCTGCCAGAAAGGAAAAGTATTTGCACTGTGATGCAATACGGAATAAAATTAGGACGACGACGACAAAAAAAAGAGGTGTCTAAATGTTGGGTTTTTTCCATGGCTTTAAAAGCATTCCTCACAGCATTTTCTATATTGATCATATGAACAAAGGTGCATAGAATCACACGATCAGTGTGGGAAATGCTGTTGACATGGAACCCTTTGGAAGAGAAGCCCTACCATGCAAGTGGAAACAAGGCTTTTCTAAAAGAGGCCTTCACTGCTCACACCCAAAGCCATAGCTAGTGCTAAATGAATTTATCCAGGAACAGTATTCCAAAGGTGGGCTGCTATAACTGAGAAGACCCTGGTGGTCTCTTGTCAGCACCTCTGAAGTTGGGGGTGCTTGGAGGGGAACCATACATTCACTGTATAGTTGATATTATGATCTATAATGATCATAAATATATTTTATGGCATGATGGAAGCCTTCATCTATTGTTAATATCTCTTTTATGGAAGATTATTTCTGCCAGTGCTCTACTGAAATTCAGTCCATCCTTTCAAATGACTGTAGTTTCATTCAATCCTGCAGCAACTAACTATAATGTAGATGTAGCACATCAAGACATCCACTTATGGGATGGTACCATTAAGCTGAAAGATAATGGGGCTAGATTTATTAGTAAGCTTTTGCAGCTGGTGCAAAGGAGCAAAAGGAACAAAATGGATTCCAGCTGAGGAAACCTGATTAATTGTAAAATGAAAACACAAAAATGTTCTATCAAATATCTTTTTATCAATGGGTAAAAACAGAAGATCGCTTGTCAACCAATGATTTATCTAAACTGAGCATTAAGATCCAGTTCTCAAAATACTGAAATCAGTTAAATAGAATAATAATGAGAGTTCTATTATTCCAGGTAAAGAGGATGCCCCCCCTCTGCACTTCTGCCACTGGAGGAGCAGAAACATTTCTTGATTCAATGTAGATAAGAAATAAATAGGATGGGCACATCTGCATCTTCTCTTTAACCAGCTAGAGTTCCCCATAATTGAACTTTGGTTAGTTAATCTTTATAAACTAGGTTTTTTTGTTTGTTTTTTGTTTAATAATCCAGGATTATAAACCATGGTTTGATCCTGGAATGTTTGAACAAAACATCACAGTTTTAACTTGAAATTTTGTTTTCAAGTGATATTGGCTGCTCACCTGAAACTCTTGTGGAGAGGCGATTTGTAGGCACAATGTGGTGTGGACCACCTGGGGCCGATTCAGTGGCATGGCTGTCAGGGAACATGCATGTCTTCCCCTGTGGCTGTGTGGTAAAACAGCAACACCAGATTCAGGTCTGGCCAATTTTTATTCCAAAAAGAAGTCAGCTTTTGTGTATCCTATTATTTCATGCTGTGCAATTTTGATGCCTTATGGTGCTCCCTTCGAAGAAAATAGCAGCTTCGAGGGGCATTTTCTTTTGGAAAATGGTACAGGGGGAAAAGAGCTAAATGTCAACCCCCTATTTAAAAAACGCATTTTGGAATGGGGAACCTCTTGCGGTTGTTGTTGCTATTGTTGTTGCTGTCATAAGCGTCTAAAAGAACAGAAACATAAATGAATCTACATATTTTTCATCTTGTTTAGTTTGGTTCTTGGAATTGTGTATATGTGAGTATTGTGACTGGCCCCTCAGTTCCAAATTTCAATAAGCTAAAGGGTCCCTGGAATTAGAATTTTTTTATATTCCTCCACTCTAGAGGGATGCATTATATGCATCTTTAAAATGCATGCAAGAAATAATTGCCAAGGGGTGTCAGTATTCAGAATGAGGACTTTTGCAATTTATAGGCCAGTGAATAAGCCAACGTACTCCAGAGTATTATACGTAAGGGCCCATCTGTTCTTGTTATTTGTAAAACATTTCCTCTAGAGATCTAAAGCCTGAGGTGAATGGAATTTGGCCAACAGATGGAGGTCAATTTCCTGTGATTGTCAGATTTCTCTTGGAGTACCTGAGTTAGCTAGGAATGGCCTAGAGCATTTTTTCAATCTGTTTCTGATGAAACTTCATTGTTCATCCAGGTCTGGACTCGACATGAATCATTTACAAGGGAAAACATCATACAGCAAAGGCCATAATGTGCTCAATTAAATTAATGTACCTGAGAACAAATGCTATAAGCATTAGCCTGCCGCCGTAGAAAGGAATACTACTATGTGTGCTACTTGCTAAAACACGTACATACTGGAACATATGAGGAATATTATTTGCTTCAGCAATGACAAGTGAGACTACTTTTTTTGTATGCAATACATGGAGGGAAATAATTAAAGGCAGTAACATCGACTGAGTGTAATCATAATTTAAATGATAGATTTTTACCTGAGAGTCAGATACTAAACAAAAGCAGTGTCTATATGATATTGATATTACAATCTAACATAGTGCAGTGGATGCAAATAATAAAGCCACATTCAACTTGATAGAGGAGGGAGCATGAATATTTGTCAGCATTTTTTTTTTATTCTCAGCATGGCATGTTGACAGCCCCGTAGTGTGAAAATATTCTCTGGACACAGGTCTATAGACACAGTTTACATATAAGATTAGAAAGCTAGTGTAGTGCTGACAGTCGCTACTCAGCTAGAAACTTCCCTAGATGGCTTCATAACAGGGATGGGGAAGCTGTGGCCTTCATGCTCCCATCATACCTGAGCAGTGGCCATGCTGGCTGCAGATTATGATCAACATCTGGAGAGCCACATCTTCCGCATCCCTACTTTATCAGCAAGAAACACACATATAGGATATACTGACCCCAGCCTCCAAAACTGAACTTGAATGCTGAGTTGGGTGAGGACAAAAAGTGATACCAAGTACTCTTAAATAGTAGGAAAAAATAAAATGTGACTTTAATCCCAGATAAGAATGTTAAAATGTATTAAGGATATAAATTTTTAATACTAGCTCATGCACTATCAAGATTACCACTCGTGCATATATATTTCATGGTTATGAGTCATGAGTATTTATCTTTATTATATCAAGGTTTACAGCTTTGTAAGGAATCCGTATTTTGCATTCTTTTTATCACAGATTAGCTCGCTGCACTAGATAGACTAGCCACACAGCTAAATTTTCTGTGACATGTTGTATGTTGTAAATCTTCTGACAACCGAAAAAGGCCCACAGGGTTAAAGTGCATTTGGTCTTGGGCATAATTCATCCATTAATTGTCACATTAGTTTGTTGATCATGCATTGACCTAGAAAGATGAGTCCATTTACAACTGCATTTCTGTCATTTTATGTATGCCCTTAATACAACATTAATCAAACATAAAAATGTTCAAATGGTTTTTTTTCCATATTACGTGGAATCATTTTTGTCCTTATCCAGCTCAGTGTTTGAGTTCCGGATCCCAGCTTTACGATGCAAATCGTTCTTTCAACTTAGCCTTCCTTAAGGAAGGAGGTGGGGATGGGGTTGCTGGTTGGACAGAGACTGTTCATTTTTGTTGTTCAGCTGCAGTGTTTGTCTAGGG